CAAACAAACAAGGCGAGGTGCTGTGCTGTGCTTGTGCTCAGGCAAAGCCAGCATATTTATACCTTCAGTATATAGGAGACTCGGCATTTGAATAAGCGCAATATTGAACCAGCAGTATTGCATACGTATGCGTATATACAGTATGTTGCTGCTGATGGCAGTTCTTCAGCGTCTCCAGTTATGGGGGTTCTGATGTTGAGGGTGATCGAGCAAAGAAAAAATGTCCACATTCATTCATTCATTCATTCGTTCATTGCATGCAGCAAATCCTCCCCTGTTTACCTAACTTCTCGTAGAATTCTCATGCACTCTACTGTACAGTGCAGTACATTTTCATCATGCGTGCGACTGCAGAATGTAGTCCTGTATATTAGTATGAATCAAGTCTGGAATCCCGATCATCCTGGCAGAAATAAAATGCATCCAACATCACAAAAGACATGTTATAGTGTATGGGGAAATTACGGTAAATATCATGAGGCGCTTCCCATCATCACCAATAATAGCCGGCATCAGTGGTCTTCAAAATCAATTTAATCGTATTTTTTCCAGACGATTGCAGTTTTAATTTGGAGACAACTCAGATTGCGACTTTGTAATTATGTGATCCTGCAACAACAAAAAAAAAAGAATGTGCCTAGAAATTATCACATTGATCCACATGAGACCTATAACTGGTAAAAGAGTCGTGAATGACAATGTTTTGTTGCATACATGTTCCCATTTCCAAATTAAACGCTTTCGGCGTTTTTACCTTTTAAATTGGAATGCGTTATCACATACAACAATGCATTTAATGCAGAAGCAACAACAACAACAACAGCAGCAGCAGTTCTATTTGGGTTCGATGTACGTACTGCTGGTATTCATTTGTCTCATGGTTGCTAAAAAAACGTATTTTGCCAGCGGCATGAAACAATTCTGCGGGTCAAATTGCCCTGGATTAAAACGCCAAAATTCGAAATACAAATTGTTTAAATCAAGAACACTTCAAAAATGGCGAATCTTCAGCATCTGAGCTGAGGCTCATGTTCGAACTCAATTTAATCACCGCATTAATCCGAGAAGGATCCCTTTGTGAAGGAAAAAAATAAGAAGATTCTATGTTGGAGAAAATGCCGTGAATGAAAATTGGCACGAGAGGCAGTACAAATCACAAAAGAAACAAAATGTTCAAAAATAATGATGGATAACAAGAAACTGAGGTCGGGGATAACCCTCGGAGGTTTCCTGAACAAAATAAATGCTGCAAAGAAATTTTTGCTAAAATTGAAACTTGAATCAAGGAATTTCAGCGTAATCTCATGCAACTTGTTTGTATCATATACATATGATACCAGGGAACCCGAAAGTCCCGCGCAAATCGAGGAAATCACTTGACCAGTTCCATATCCCGGTTTGTTCAGCAGCTCTGCCAAATGTTGACGTATATCCTGTATTTGCAAATAGTAAAAAAAAACTCTCGGGGCGTAAATATTCATTTGTTTGATTTTTTCCTAGTCCTTCACTCAATTCGGAATCTCTTATCGCACATTTTTTCCCCTGCTCGTGTCCCCGGCAACAAAAGAAGAAAAAAAAACCCTCCCACTTTGCTAATGATTTTCCGCCCTCCGTCGGAAAAACAGTGAGTTTTTCCTAGTTTATTCGAAGCAGGGTAAATTAAGCTTTTGTGAAAAAAGCCAGACAAAGGGTCTCTTTTTTTTCGGGGGGAAATGGTATACATGTATTGGACGCTGCTTATGAATGACTCCGGCCATATGTCACGCGAGGTCATTAGGTTATGCGACGGATGCTAAATAATGTCCCGGGACCCCGTTGTGTGTGTGTGGCCCGTATTGTGCTAATTTTCAGACAACTCCGGCGTCTTGAACAAAAAGTAAAACACCTCTCAGTTTACATGAGCTATATAGAGAGACGAAAAAAAAAATCCTGGGTTTTTCAGGACCTCCGAATCAAATCATTTACTATATAGCGTGTAACATAAATCCGGGCAGCATAAAAGTTTAACCCCGGAGATGGTGGGGTGAAAAAGTCGATATCATCGTGTCGTCATATGTGTGACATGCTCTGCAAAAAATAAAGTGACGAACAGTTTGGAATTTCAGCCTTTCATCGATCATATTTAACCCGAAAACAACAATTTTTTAAAGCTTCCGCGTGCGGCTTGATTTACTCGTCTTTGTAGAAACGTGTGTCATGTGTGTGTACCTCAACATTTTTTGTATTCTTTCATTATTGTTGCGGGCAACTTTGGGCAATGAAGGAATGCATTCAACTCGGAAACCGCGGGAAAAGGCAGGAATTTTTCACGGGACGGGTTTTCTGGGCACAATCGAATTGTTATTGGCAAAGCAACAATAAGTCGAAGTTTTTTTTTTTTTTCGCGCAGCGGGTATACAAGTAATTTTTGCTCGAAGGCAATTCGCAAAATTGACTATAGTCTCTTAAATGCCGCAAAGAAGAAAAGACCAAAACATATTCGCAATGATATAAAATTCCGGAGCGAAAGGATAAATATATTGAGAATGATGACGATGGAATAACTCAATCGTCCATCATTTTCCGTCGATCGGCGGTGATTCTTTTCCGTCGACAATTTATTCTCGCGTCGTATTTCACCTAAAATTTCCGGTTTTTCCCCCTCACCAGCAGAGGGGGAATTCGAGTGATGAAGATGCGAGGATTTCAATGATACATAGTTGACAATAATAAGTGGTGGTGTTGCTTTCCGACTTGTCACGAGCCCGGCATTCGCATGGAAATAAGTCTGCCAACACAATCCGGATTCGGGAGCTTTGAGCAGCAGTTGTTGAGCAATCTTACTTTTTCAGCCCTGGTGGAAATATTTCCCCGGCCTCTTTTGTTTGACGACTGGGTTGCCAAGTGACAGTTATTGAGCACTTGATCTCGCCACGAAATGGGTTTGCACGGTGTGACACCTCGGGGGGGAAGGGGACGAAAATAACGAATGTTTTTCCTTGCCCCGGGGGTGGGGACTAAAGAAAGACTGACTGACTGACTGACTGGTCTTCATTCAGGCTCTCGAGAGCGTGTGTCACTACGGGTCAACACGACCCGACAAGGGTCGCGGAAATTCCCGCCGGACAAACCCGGCGATAAATCCCAACCCAGGCCCGGGCTCATTTGTCGCTTCCCTGTCGCGTTATTTGCATTTCGGAACACCTTCTCGGAAACCTTTACCCCCCCTACTCGTCTTTATTTCTTTTGTTATGGATGCCATGGGTCAAGAGGATATACAACCATCAAGCACGCGCCGAATTCTCCAGGAAATCAAAAAGTTAACCCTCACGCGCTATACTGTACTATAATATTATAACCACAACAATTAAACAGGCGGAATTTAATTACGAAGCTTTTGACAAATGAAGGTCGAAACATCTGGAGAATAATACTGGAAATATTCTGACCACATCTGTGCGTGCTTCACTATTAGGGGCGGAGTAATTGGCCAAAATTACCCGTCCTGCAAAATCGAAACAATTTATATTGCGTCAAATTAATCTAAAATCCTTTGCGACTTTGTGTGTTCCACTGCAATCCAAATTGTTATTATTATCCTGGAAAATGGTTTAATGGCAGAACCAGTCAACTTGTTTACTTCAGATGCAATTAAAAAATCTTTTTAGGCAATATGTGGTAGACAATTAATTGAGATGATGGTCAATTCGACATTCTTGTATCATCATCATCATCATCACCATTCCGACAGCAATGAGGAAGATTATCTTTAAGCTTAAATAATGTGGTTGAAAATATAATTTTCATATTTTTGATTAGCTGACGAGATTAACCTAACATTTTTTAAAATCTTGTTTTCTATAATTGTCTGACTGAGATTTCGTGCGAATAGTCATCAAAGTTCGTGCTCTATATTATTTCGTTATATACGAAAATCCGTCAAGTCGAAAGATAAAATGGAATTATTGCACAACCGAATTAAAGTAGCAAGAAATTCTCAGTCGATATGGATATCGAAAAACGAATTTTGATTCAATTGCTCATATTAGATTTGATTGCTGGGGAAAAATTGTGAAATTTCCCAGCGAATGCTAAATATTTTTGCAAGAATCTTTCAAGATGAGACGAACAGTGGCTCTTTGTTATAGATAATGACCAGCGATAGGATTTTTCTCCGCAATTTTCAGCCCCGCTCCATCAACTTTCAACATGTAAATACAAGATTTCCATGTTTTGATGAATATATTGTATACTGTGCCTCAAAAACTGAGTTTTTTATTTTTCATTGTGCATTGTGTGATCGAAATCAAAATCCTAACCCGAAAATGAACGTGTATATACAGTACTGTATTCCCCTTTTCTCTCTCTCTCTGGGTCCTTCATCCCCAGCAGCAGCACCTCTCCGTGGGTGTTTGTGTGTTGTTCCCTGCGTCGTTTTGGGTTTAATCGACGAGGAGGGATTTCATTCAAAGAAGAAAAAAAAGGGGGGGGGGGCTCGGTTTGGGTTCGGTTTTTCCTCTAGGAGTGAATGCGGACATCAATCAAAACCTGGTGCGGTTCCGGCGACGGCGTCCAGCTGAGGTTTTCAGGCCGTTTCCGCAGCTGCCTTCAATTAAACCGAACCCCTCAGGGCTCTTCTTTTATATGTATTAATGTGACACCAAATTAATCCATTATTCTCTCAGCGCAAAACCGCGTCCTTTCCATTATTAATGGGGAAGGACAAAATGAAAATTGCACGACGACGATAGGCAGCTTCTTGCGCAAAAAGAAAAAAAAAACAATCAGAAACTACTGCGAACCACTGCTTTTCAATTCATGCACATGCAATGAAAAAAAAAACAGGCATTTATTTTAAATTTCGATTGACTCGACGATCGGTGCTTCTCCGCAAAAATGTACCTCAGAAACCTCGGGTAAACATTTTTTTTCTTCTTTGCGAACCTTTTCGACTCCCCTCTGAGCAGGAGGAAAAGAAAAGCCTTCCCATAATATAGGTGTGAAGTTTGAAAATCCTCTTTATGGCTCCCGCGGAGAAGCTGTCAGTGAATTTGAAAAAGCGTTCGCATTTCAAGTGGTGGTGGTGAGAGATCTTTTTTTCTTCTTTTTTTTTTCAGTGTGATTTTGTGTGGACGGTTGGTTGGTTTTTGGCTCACCGATTCCGTCACTCCCTTTCATTCAGAACCGTTTCACGCCAAGCACGCATTATGATTTAAACCCCGACAGTCAAACAAAAGCGAGGAATTACGCCGGAAACTCTTGTTTTAATTCAAGTAAAATGCCGAGCGATTGAGTTTTAGTTACGCCTAAAAGCCCCAAAAAAATTGCAAGCTTATATTTATAGTAATACTGTGCAGTACATGAATAATTTGAACTCCAGGCAAGACGAAGCTGATTAAAACATATTTATGATATACACTTGTTTATTTTTAATACTGTTCTGTACAATAATGTCGGTTATTTCCATTACAAAGTTTATTTTTGTTTCTCTGCAGAATTCTCGCAAATTTTGTCAAAAACATCAATCTTAATTCGGAACGTACATCATCAATTATAAAGCAACAAAGGTCTCTCTCCGTTCTGAAAGAAAAAAAAAAAGTCATGTGGCAAATTTTAACGATCCTCTTGAATTCATTGATCAAAATAATGTTCTGGGTGTTCAGCTTGGTATTTGGTACAGTATTACGAATTGTTCTCGTCTTTTAAATCGTTCAACTTTATATTCAATTTCTCTAATTTCAGCGTGATCGAGCGCTACATTAAAAGAAAAAGATATATTTGGCGGTGAAAGTTTTGATTTCTTATTGGAGGTAAATGGCACAATATTTTAATTTTTAATTTTGAGTATACTTTCAAATTCCTGAGCTAAAAAAAACATCTCGAGACGAGTGTCGGTTATTTCCCTAAGACGGGGATATGAGGCGAGTCATCGTCACATGAAACTCGTCGTCAGTTCAATTTATGACGGTTTTAGATGCACTCGTTGAGTGTTTTATCGACTCCATCCGGTATTACGACGGCCTTCTTTAGTTTTTATTTTATTTATAAATATCCTTCCTTCCTTCCACATGACCCCGACGAAGGCGAATAGCATATATAGAAAGAGGATTCGAACCTGCAGAAGATGGAATCTCGTCTGATAAGAAACGTGAGTGCCGCACCTCGGGGAGATCATATTGCGGTACTGAGGTAATTATCGCCGGGCTCTTTTCGTGGGCGTTTTTGAGCAGAGAGGCGCCGTAAAAGCCCCAACAGGCCTCGGGTTATAGAAGGAGAAATTTAAAACAGGCCCGTAAACGCAACGCAATAAAACCCACGTCGTCGGCGGGGTTTTATTGACGACTCGGAACCTGTCCGTCTTCGAATTCACCCAGCTGTATACAGCATAGGCGGCGAAAAATAAACATGGGAATTTAATGAATAAAAAAAACAAATTGAAAAAATAATAAAAAGGTTATTGAGAGGAAGAAATTCCAGTTTCGTAGAAAAGATTTCACGGAGCTTGCAGCAAAAAAAAGCAGGATATACAGGAAAGGATGAAACAATATGCCACACAGGTGGAAGAAATAGCGTGTTACATTTTATTATCTTTTTTTTTCGTCGCATATAAGGTTTATTCAACCCTTCAGCAGTGGTCATAGGAAATTTATTAGAAATTGTTGATGCTTTCCGCGAATGGAGTATACTGTACTTCAAGAAATTGAGCCTTTTTTGTATTTCATTCCGTATAATTGGTGGTGATGGATCATAAATATTTGTGAGTTTTAGGGAACAAAGCAATGATACTATTCTTGCGCATTATTTTTTGGGAGTCACACGCGTATTTCTTTTTCGAACAATATTTTACACCTCAACACAATGTGACAACAATCAATAATGGTTCAATAAATAATCGGAAATGTAACTTTTAAAAATAAGTTAAATTATAATGTAGAGATGGACATGTGGAATTTAACGGTACATGTGCACACCTTGTGCGTCCAAATTCTTTCAAAATTGAGCAATTGTATTTTTAGGAATCAAAAAAGAATTCACGATCATCATCGCAGAAACCATCCCTCGACGCATTATATTGTAGACGAATTCAAGTTTTTAATGGGAATAAATTCAATTTGTTATGTTCAACATATCTTTTACGCTTGAATACTTCTGTTCACTCTTGTCATGAATATTACGCGATTCATGTCCATATTATACATTAATTATGCTCGTCAAGTGATGTAAATTAACTGATTCTCGTGCTGATGTACTGTACATCATGCTTATCGTTCTCATCTGCATCTTCCTTTTCATCCCTTATTGAGGTACAGTGTTTCCCCCACACGACATAATAGCATCAGTGGCGTTTCGCTCGTTTTCTCGTCATTATTTCAGCACAAGAAGATCAATTTCGGGATTCGAACATATCATCAGCAGCACGCCAGAAAGCAGCAAGTGGAGAATAATAATGCCAGCAGCAGCAGCAGCAGCAGTCGAAAGTGACATGCGCATGATGCACACGCATTTTATTATTGCAGCAGACGAGGACAGAGTTGATGAAAATCCGAGGGTCTCGGAGTCATTAAAAAGAATCTCGCGCAGCATGCATATGTGTTGTTGTTGCTGGAAATGAAATTTCAATCTCGCCCCGCAGCAGCGTGATTCAGCCTGGGCCGTCGATTAGGCGAGTGACAAATCGAATGATGCCTGGCCCCTATATGTGCACCCCGTTTTCGCCATCAGCAGCAGCGGGGAGACCCGACCCTTTGTGCACAAAACTGCGACCTGGCGCGGAATTCACGCCACAATAAACGCGGGGATGTCGACATCATGAGAAGAAAAAGAAGGGAACAAAGCATTATAAAAATGACAAATAATAATAATAATAATAATGGATTGGGCATATGTAACGACGAGTAGGAGAATCGCCGAGACGCGAAACGTATAGGGTTGCCTTAATGGCAGATGCTGCCGACGGAGCGCGTGATCGAATTATTCGCGCGCCCCGATGGCTTTATTGCCTGGTCATCAGGGTTCCAGACCACCTGAGATGTTGCGTGCTTTTTTCCTGTGGCACCCTCGCCAACAAAAGGATAAGACAGAATTTAAAAAATAAAATAAAATAAAAGAGGCAGCATCACGGTCGTGTGGTGCCAGTTGGAGCAGAACCACCCCTATTATCTAGCTGCTGCTGCAGAGAGTCATGTACTGTACTGTACATAGAAAACCAGTGTCTCTCAAATAACTGCCAGAATCACGCAGGAAAACAAGTGCCATCAGCAGTGGTTATATCTCTCTTCTTTCGCCATGATTGCTTCTTGAATTAAACAACGCGAGTTAACTTAACCCAGTAACTTCAAGAGCTGCTGATATTTCCTGTACAGTATTCTAGTTGGTACTCTCTGGAACTGCTTGCGCTAATGAATTGAGATGCATAGTTGGTTATCATCAGGGCTGTTGTGGAGAGAATGCACTGAGAAAAATCTAATGAAGGGTTTTACTGCCTCTCCAACCTTTAATTTTTCATCAAAAATCAATTTACCAACAACAGCAAGCTTCATTGTGAAAATACTAAACCTGTTTCTACAGTAGATACTGTACAGTATTTTTATTACGTTTTGTTGTAACATATTTTCAAATTGTTTTTGGAGTTGGATTTTGGCACACATTTATTTTATTCATTTGTGGAGTGTTCTGTCATTTCTTTGCCATCAAATTACACACTAAATTGTTCAAAAAGAAAAACTAGGAATATACATTCACCAAGTCGTTTTTGAATACATATACAGTTGAACCTTCATAATTCAAATGTCCCTAATAAGTGTAATAACTCCCTATGTTGAATTTTTTTTTCAAGTCCTTTTCTGAATTCTCTAAGAAACAATGCATTGAAAATCTCACCAACTCATCATAGGATTTTCTTATTAAACGTTTATAACTCAAATTTTCTGAAGCCTTTTGGCTATTACTTTCTTGACGCAGAAGGAGAGAAGTAATACAAAGTAACTTGATGTATTTTTAGAGGAAGGGGAAGACTATATTAGCTATTAAATGAACCCCTATACCTCCAAGTTCCTTTCAACACTTCTAAGAAGCCATTTAAGGCCTATAGAATATCACTTGTTTCCATACCCAGATTTTTTTCTGTTTTCCCTAACTTGAAGCCTTTCTAGCCCAATTTTTTTTTTGGTTGGTCCCTTGACCAATTTGACTTGGACAGGTTGGACAGGACAACTGTCTGTTGTAGGCATCAAATCAACGGATGGCGTGATTTGATTCGTTCGTTCCGCAAATAATGAGATTGACGCCCACCACCAGGAGATCCCAATGCCAACATATACTCGTATGTCAGTGTCAGGTTGTTCTGGAATGTGCAGTATTCATGGAAATCCCGAGTCCCTCCTCCTTGCTTGCTGATTCTTGGCGTCGTTATAAGCAGATCAGTGTGTAGCCGAGAGTGATTTACAAGCCGAGAGCAAAGCTGGCGAGGGAGTTGATTATTGATGACAACAAAAGAGCAGAGAGCAGAACACGACGACGACGACGACGGAGACATTCGCCAAGCACATGTGGACGCGTTTTGGGGCCGGGTGTGGGGGGGCATCAGGGGGGACGAGAGCAGATCAGTAATTGACTGCCTGCTAATGGAGCCCGTGGGCCTGTGGAAACTGGGGTGGGCTTTTGATGCCGACGACATGAAAAGGAACAGGCCTCGGTTATTGTCTTCCATTCATCTCCGACCCGTGCAGCAGACTCGACTTGTTCTCCCCCCCGCCAACAAGTGTCTTCTTCTTCTTCTTCTTCTTCTGGCCTGACTCGAGAATAATCCGGGCAAGTACTGCCCGCTGCAGCACTGACCAGCAGCGAGCTAGTCGGCTGCAGATCCAGAGCCATGGCAGGAATTCCCAGCCAGCAGCAGCAGAGGAAACCTGACAAGGCAAGAAGAATGGACTCGAACCCGGGATGCTTTTTTTTTTTTTTAAATCTTTTCTTGAGCTTCTTATTTTTTTATTTGTTTGCTGGACACAACCAGGGCCACTTGGGCCTCTTCTTTTGTTATCTTCTTATGCCTGATGCTCGTGCTGCTAAGTAAGATGTAGGAGGGCGATGGCCGTCAACCTGACAAGCAGCTCTCGGTTGCCACTTTTCCCGCTCTCTCGTCGTGCTTTCGACCGATTTTCATCCCTAATTTTTATTTTTTTTAAATCTTTTTAAGAGTTTCGCACATGTAGGGTGGCTCTTTTTTTTGTTTGTTTGAATTTAGTCATTTCAGTTTTCTTTGGCTGATTGTCTTATTGGGTCGTTTGATCAGAGAGAAACAAAATTCCAATTACGGTGCATATACCTCTGATCGATCCGCTGTTGCGCATCCTGCCGAAAAGCAGCTCCGAGATTCCGCAGGTTCTCCCCAATTCAAAAATGGCGGAAGGAGAATTTCATTTTGTCCTAGAGATATATATTCCAACAATGGAACAAAATGTGAGAAAAATGTGTAACAGTTTTTCTGGTTATTCTTTTGAAATGAAGTTTTTCTTGGGAAACCGAGTTTCTGAGCTTGAAATATCGTGTTGAGAAATGAAGTCCAATACCTGTTCATTTTTAAAATTTAATTTCCGTATAATTTCAGCCCCTGCGCTCAAATTGAACCTCTCGCGGAACCTCCAAATTTGGTATCACCAATAATAACTAACGATACGATGAAAAAAATACAAAACATCAGATCTGGAAATTGTGTCACCGAGGATATTTCTCGAAATTTCATCAGCACTCCGACTGATTGAAAAAAAATGTATCAAATAATGTCCAGTACTATTGTTACGCTCGTATATAAATATACCTACTCGAAATGGTTGGGTTGAACATATGCCATGTGAAATTTGAGTGATATTTTATTATACATTAATCAAGTTGAGTATTACATTGACAAGGTCCTGTCCATATATTTCGGCACATCCAACCACGTTACAAGAAGGGGCCGGCTGACGGCATTGATCAACGAATCCTCCTGAGATATAAATGAATTGACCATCATCATTCTAAAAGGAACCGAATAATGGATGATGAAGAAAAGGTGGAATGAAAACTGAATGTCTCCCGTTTTCAAAAATATATTTCGTTCATGATAAAATTGGACCTCTCAGTATAAAATATTCTATTTTTATTCTTGACGCGTATAGCTGCAATAATGATGCATTCAGTTTTTTTCTTTTCTTCAAATCATGCTGTAATTATTTTTTCTCTCCCATTCCGCAGCAGTGACGCAACGTCTTGAAAGCTGAAGTCGTCGGCGTCCTTGGAGAGGAGTGATTGAGTTGGCAGCGAGTCGATCAAGAGAGAGAGAGAGAGAGAGAGAAAAGCAAAGGGGTAAAGGCGAGATTTATCGGTCAACGGAAGGCAAAAGCCACCTTGGCCCGAAAGGGTATACGCGGGGGGACAAAAATGTCCCGCAGTGGTTGCGCAAAGGGATCCCACGGGAGGCGAGAATTCTGGCCATAAAAGCACACCCAGTGTCCACTCTGTCAGGAAGGGGAAGGAATGAAGGAAGAACCGAACCCCATGGCACCACAGCAGTGGCTGCTGCTGCTGGGGGCACCACCACCATCAGCACCAAGAAACATGAGAATAAAAAAATAATAAAAGAAGAAGAGGGGGTTTTATTTGCTGCTTCATTCACCACAATTGGGTAAATATCTTTATTTTCCGGTTTCTTTTTCACGTGTTGTTGTGGATTTTTATGTGGTTTATTTATCCATTTATTTCAAGGGGGCTATAATTAGAGAGTCATGCGCCTCGTCTGTTGGAAACTTTTGGCATGCGTGCAATTGATTTTTAAATGAAATTTCAAGTTATTGTGCATTCGAATGTGATGCGCGTGGAGCCTGTTATTCCTTCCAAATTGTCAGAGCGAAGAAAATGTGCAAGTGAAAACAGTAACACTCCTGGGAAGGGAACTTGGAAGTTTTTTTTTTAATCATGGATTTAAAATTGGAAATATGTCATTAAAAAAAAAAAGCGAGGGTGTCTTGATGTCGTGTAATGTATATAAGACACCACGGCACTGTTTTTTTCTTGGTGACACAACCCTGGACTGACGACTCGCAAGTACTGTACTACAGATGTGAGTATACTGAGATAAACTCTCATTTTCCACTGTTCGAAGAGATTCTGGGGCACTACATTCCTGCAGCAAGTGAGGGGATGAAATAAGGAGAGNGATTTTTTGAATGCTCGTACTATTCTGAAAAAGGAAAATAATGGTGTTGAAAGCAAAACAAAAAAGCTGGCATCAATTGCAAAAACATAACGGAGTGCTTGGGGAAAAAACTTGAGCAAATTATTCATCATTCGAATCTAGAATAATATTATAGAATAGAAAGTAGAATTTTTCCCTGCCAATGTCGTAAGAGTTTTCCTCCGGGAAACGATAATTTTTTGCTCGTGGAAATTAATCTTTTTTTTTACATGTCTTAGGATAGTCCAGAAAAGAAAAAAAAAACTCTTCAAGCCTCAAGAATTTTCGATACTTTTTCCTGATCCCGTCTTCCACCCAATTGTGAGTCCACGATTTCCCACGAATCCCTCTGTTCTTATGTTATTATATGCACTAAAATGCGTAAAGGGTATTTACCCCCGGATGAGTGTCTTATTCCAAC